CCGCATCTGTGTGTCTAGAAGTCATTCCAAAAAAAAAGTTTGCTAAACTTATCCATTTCATCTTGTTCATGCATTTTCTGTAAAAAAAAAATAATAAAGGTTTTTCAGGCTATCAGACATTTTTTCTGACATTTTAAGATATTGGGTATCTTATTCCAGCCCTAACGTAAGAACACTCCCGCATTTCAGCTTTTAGTCACAAATGCCCAGGAATCACAGTGACTCACAAGACTGTGTTTAGAACACTGTGTGATAGCAGTACCTCGAAAGGCATTTAAAACCATGTCACCTCCTTCCTTTCTTTGGCTCTTTAACCCAGCTGATTGCAGGCCTCTTCCTCCTGGTAGAGCAGACTAATAGTAAAGGCCCTGAAGCTAGAAAGCTCAGCAAGGGTATGCTACATACCAAGGGATTCCACTAACAAAGGCCCATCCATTACAGTCTCTCTCCCCAGGTTGAGCAACTTTGTGCTCTCCCTGTGTGTTCTCATCACGCTTCTCTCTGGGTGTTTCCTAGACAGGGGGCTAGGAGAGAGAATGAATGGACCAGTGCTCCCTAGAGTCTCCTGGGACTCTTCTGATTAGGTCAATTATTTCCTTAGATGTCCAAATAGTCACAACACAGATTAGAATTCACACATAAATTTTGGGAGGACATAAGCATCCAGTCCATCTAACTAGAACACTTTGAGCTTTATAAAATAAAAACAGACTGAGGCAGAATGGTGGCCCAGTGTAGCAGCACAGGCCTGTGACTGGAGAAGGCAGAGACTGGAGAAGACAAGATTACATGGCATGTCTCAAAACAACAAACAACCAAAAAGACAGACAAAGACACCCCTCCGCTGCCCCCCTCTTACCCACCAAGGTACCAACACCAGCAGCAGAAGAAAACTAGAGATGATCTTGGTTTTTCATTCCTCTGACACATTTTTACTAGAACCTTTTAGGTGACTTGAAAATGGGGGTTTACACTGAAATTATATTTCGGTGACTTTTTGATGGAAAACTCTTCCTATGACATTCTTAATCTCTGTCTGTATATAATTTTCTTGTTACCCCTTTCAGTGCTGAGCAACCATGCTGCCATAGCTGAATAATGTGGACCATATTAAGGGTCCCTGCATGAAGTTTCATGACAATATTTGAATCGTTTGGCCAGATATGTATCTTCTAGCAGATTTGCATAGCCTATAACAGTAAGAGTTTGGTGGGATGTTGAGGCTCTTTCCTGTATTATCAATTATAGAAAACAGAGGCAGGAGACTCTCTGAAAAGGCAAGGACATCCAGGGCCACATAAAGATATCCTATCTCAAAAGTAAAAGGAAAGAAAGAAAGAAAGAAAGAAAGAGAGGAAGAAAGAAAGAAAGAAAGAAAAAAGAAAAGAAAAGCAAAAGCAAGCCTGGTGGAATGGCTTTGTGAGTAGGTAATAAAGGCACCTGCTGGCAGCCTGATGACCTGAGTTTGATCCCTGGGACCTAGTCCTGGGTTGGGAAGGGAGGACCAACAACTTATTTATTTATTTATAATTTAATTTATTTATTGATTTTATATTGAAGCTGAAGCCTCCCTGCCCACCTCTCTTCCCACTCCTTCCCCTCATCTCCCCTCCACACACCCGCCTCCTGTATCCACCCCTCCTCCATATTCACTAAGAAAGGGGCAACCTTCCAACCTTCTCATGGGCATCAGCAAAGCATAGCATATCAAGCTGCCATAAGACCACACACCTCCCCCTGGGCATGAGGAATAGGTTCCCACGAGCCAACCAAAGCACCAGGGATAACCCTGCCCCCATTGCCAGGACTCCCACAAACAGACAAAGCTACACAACTGTCACACATATGCAGAGGGCCTAGGTTGAGGACCAACTTCTACAAGTTGTCTGTCCTCTGTCTTGCACAAGTGCAGTATCATGTTCTCGAATACACATGAAATAGTAATTTTTTTTCTTAAAAAACATTAATTTGCCTTTAGTAAAGTTTGAAAGAGAAAAATTAAATAAACAGCTGCCTTTAACTGAATAAAGTCCTTAGGATTATAGTCAACATCACCATTTGCACTCTGCTATTATTTATTTTTTTTTTTTTTTTTTTTTTTTTTTTTTGGTGTGATCTAATATTAGAGAAACAGTCAAGTCACTTAAGAAACTGAATTGAAACAAAGATTTTTGAAAGTTGTCTGTACTTCTGGACCAAAACTCATTTCTCTAACCACAGGAAAAGAACTTGTGGGTTTTGTTGTTGTTGTTGTTTTGGATTTTTTTGTTTGCCTTTTTTGGTTTTGTTTGTTTGTTTTTTGGCACATCTTCTACCCTACACTGGCCCTGAATGAGCTATGTAGCTGAGGACGCCCTTGAACAGAACTCTGAGGCTCCTTCCACTTGGAGTGGGTCTTGGATTACAGGTCTGCACCTCAGGCTATGTTGAGGATGTAACCTAGGGCTCCCTGTGTGCCAGGCAGACACCACTAACTGAGTTACATCCCCATTCCCTATTTTACCTTTTAAAGCCGAGGAATGTATGTGTTTTATTTGCTACAAGGCTGGAAATGGATAGAGCTAGGGCAAACGGAAGAGCTGGGTGCCTAGTGCACTGCCATGCCTTGATAATCTGAGTGTTACTGACAGGGAATGTGTTTGATTTATGGTGTCTGAACTGGCCCAGAGACCCATGATTGCTTCATTATTACATTACTCTCTGGTGATTTCAAACAGTACTTCAAATTGCTAAACATAAATAAAAATCCTGCTCTAAACTAACCTATTTATAATAATTCATTTTAAGAATATTAATGAAATGTTATCACTTTGTATGTGAATGAAGAGTAATTAAAATGAGAAAAAAAAACATGTCAATTGATCTGGATCAAAACTCCCCCAAATTGGAATTTTGATACAAGCATGCTTTTTTTGAGTCAGAGTACAGGCTGGCTTTAACCCCCAACCCCCCCAAGTCTCCTGACCCTGCTAGCACCACCTGCACCAGACAGGATTGTTCAAGCTCTGTCTTTCAAGCAGAGTTTCCTCCAAATTGATGAGCATTTCAAAAAGCTCAGCAGTTGAGAGTATTATTAATATAGATAAATCAAGCCTAAATAAAATATAGCATGCTAATGTTAGAGAAATTTTGCATTTTACCGGGGAGGTTTCAGGGTGTGGGCGAAAGGAACATTCTTGTACCATTCATCATCGCCACCTTTTTTTTTTCTGCTTAAGGAGCCAGAGTGTTTACCCATTGGCCCCCTTTCTTAGCTTCTTTCAGAATACTAAGTCAGTGCACGGCACTCCCTCGAGAGCATGCAGTGTCCCACCCCATGTTTGTGAATGTCGTCATCATGAACAGTGTTTTGGTCAATAGCCAGGGAAAAGTCACGCAATAATGCTACCACATCACCTACCAGGAACAATAGGGAACATGAAAGGTAAGGGAGCTCCATCCCCACAGAGGCCACGTGACGGGAGGTCCAGAGATAGAGGGGCGGAGGCCAGTGTGTAAGGGTAGCCAAACACCGACTGCTTTCATTTGTGATAATCTAAGAAATCAACTGGAATGTGAACGAGAGATGGCTTGTTCTGTGTTCTTTATTTTGTGAAATAATGATCTATTTCTTGAGGTTTTTTTTTCCCCTTGGGGATTTGGCTTTTATGTAATTTGAGCATTTCTTTTTCAGAGTAAATGCACATGGAACTCTGCAATGAGTTGTACTTGGTTGAAAGTATTGCCTGGGTATGGTAACTCACAACTTGAATCCGAGCACTTGGGAGGATGAAGCAGGAAGATTTGAAGTCAAGGCCAGCCTAGCTACATAATGAGTTTCAGGACAGCCTGTGCTACCAAAAACCTATCTTACATGACCAACCACAAGATCTGTTAAGGTGGCTCTGAGGGTGTGGTGGTTTGAATAAAAATGGCACCCACAGGCTCACTGTTAGGAGGTATGGCCTTGTTAGAGAAAGTGTGTCACTGGGGTGGGCTATGGGGTTTTAGATGGTAAAGCCAGGCCCAATGTCTCTGTCTTCCTGCTGCCTGCTGATGCTGATGCAGAACTCTTATTTTCTTCAACACCATTGCGGCCTGTGCCAGGGCAAGTTTCTTCCCAAGACGATAATGGACTAAACCTCTGAAACTGTAAACCAGCCCCAATGAAATGTTTTCCTTTATAAGAATTGCTGTGGTCATGGTGTCTTTTCACAGCAATAAGCCCTAATTAAGAAACCAGATATGGGTACTTGTCACCAAGCTGACAACCTGTATCCAATTTCTAGAATCCATATGATACAAGGGAAAGAGAAAGAGAATCTGCTCTGGCAAGTTACATCTCTCTCTCTCTCTCTCTCT